TTTTTCACTGAATACATAATGTTACTATACGTAAACATGTTTTTCACTGAATAAATAATGTTACTATAAGCAAACATGTTTTTCACTGAATACATAATGTTACTATACGTAAACATGTTTTTCACTGAATAAATAATGTTACTATAAGCAAACATGTTTGTCACTGACAGTGATATTGCATTACATTATTACATCACTCAAGTGCTAAGCTTTTCATTTTATTTTTACATAATGCTGCTTATTACATAAAATAAAACTGCTATCAAGTAAAACTTTATTAAAAATACTCACATTATTTTTATTCTGGTATAGTCCTTGGATTTAAACACAATAAGAAACATTAACATATCGCCCGTACTTAATCACACTAGCACTATACAATCTCAATAACTATTAATATCTCAATCTCAAAAAAATACCGTGGATTGGATGTCCATAATTTCAAAATAATACCAAACTAATAATATAATTCTGTTAAGCTGCACATGTTCATCTTTACTTTCAGTCATTATATTTTCCTGTCCTTGTCATCTTGTTTGTTACTTGACAAACAGTAAATTTTTTAATATAATACTCATACCCATAATGCATTAAATCACAGATTATTAGGTAAATGTGACGTATTCAATTATTCACTGGCACAAGTTCAACTGTTTCTACAAAGATTCATGAATAACAAATAGCACCATATTCTCCAAAACTCTTATATGTGCCCTATTATTAGTTACTGTAAATGAAATATTCTATATTTCAATATTTTTTTTCCAAAACTTATCTTCAAGTTACTGATATTAAAAAATATCAATAAATAATTCATCTCAGAATATTTCTCATATAGTTATTTAAAATATACACTTCCTTCCTCTTCCATCAATTCGACATAAAAGACAAGGAACATAGTTGAAATATTAATCTACTTTCAAGATTTCATGTATGACTAAATAACGTCAAGTAATGACATATTCTATCCAATAAAACTTGGTTTCACAGAGCTAAAAGCTGTGTGCACAAACCAGTTAAATTAAATCACAAATATTTATAATGCTGCAACTACTTATAATGCATAAGAGCCAATGAGAATGAGAAGCTAGCAAAACATAATTTATTTTTTTTATGTTCAGGAAAACAATAATAATTACTGTTAAAATACAAAGCATTGATAACATGGCACTAAAACATATGTTTCATTCATCAAACTCAAATGAGCATTGTTACTTCACCTTCATCCATAACAGTAGACATTTCTATCAATAGAGAAGTCACAAGTCTGTTTATTCTATCATTGCATTTTTATTCTTGAAATAGAAATGTTTATGTTTTTTTACTTTTTTTCAATGTACCAAAAAACACTTTCAAAGAGAAACAGACTCTCGAAGCTAAAGTTGTTTCCAAAATAAATTTTGTCACACTGTCTATTTTATCTATATTATTAGTTCTAAATACATCTTTAAATTAGTAATTTCTATAAAACTTTAATTTCTTTGAACAAATACCTTATTCATCCCTTTAAATGCCCCCCCTTTTCATTCAGCAATTATAAATCCTAGTCAGCTGTGAGATACATATCCGGCAAATTACCACATCTTATGTATTAAAAAATAACTGTACTTGCCATTCCTTATTATAAAGTTAAGTGTTTGAAGTTTTTTTTCTTTTGCTACGATATGTGTACACTGTGGTTTATATAAATGTTTAGTTTAAGAAATAATTAAGTTTTCATTTCAATAAATCAGAAACTGACTTCCCACCAGTCTCGATTCTGATCACTTTCTTAAGGCTTCATTATGAATCAGTATCTCATTAGTAGTACTACATCATTTACTTCTTGAAGCACAATTAAATAACTGTCCACATCATTATGTCAGCAAGTAGCATACCAAGATACTAAGAAATAAATCAAGAACACATGGTAATATATTTCATACAGTTTTATTCAGCACAAAAACATGTTTCATGCCACAGGAGGGCTGCCTGCTTTGCCAATATTACTTGGTATAAAACAAACAGTGCAATAAGCACACACACACACCCGTAACCATATGACATGAGAATCCCCCACAGTGTTTAGTCAGTTCTATTAATTTTCCAAGCATCTAAGATTTCCCACATCTATATACCAAGATAAGTGCCTCTCCCACACATCTTTCAGTCAGTTTTGATACTAAGATTTCCCACATCTATATGCCAAGATAAGTTCCTCTCCCACACATCTTTCAGTCAGTTCTGATACTAAGATTTCCCACATCTATATGCCAAGATAAGTGCCTCTCCCACACATCTTTCAGTCAGTTCTGATACTAAGATTTCCCACATCTATATGCCAAGATAAGTGCCTCTCCCACACATCTTTCAGTCAGTTCTGATACTAAGATTTCCCACATCTATATGCCAAGATAAGTGCCTCTCCCACACATCTTTCAGTTAGTTCTGATAGTTTTCTAAGCTACCAAGGCACTTGAAAGGACAAAAACATTAAATATATATATTCTGAAGAGCCTACACAACACTATTTTTAGTTGTATGTATCATTTAATGATGGTTGTTAAATATATTTTTTTTTAATTCTTTGAATTACTTATTCAGCAGAAAAATATACTGATTACTTGCTTTAATAGAATTTTAGTTTTCACATTATGGTTTAACAATAGAAAGGAAAATATGGCTAACTCACTATTATAGAAAACACAAATCCCAACACAAAACAAATGATAAATCCCCTAATCCTAGTTGACCAACTGAGAGTTGATACATCTCGTATCTGCAAGAAAAGTAAAACATAAAACTCTAATAAGCTAGTAACAATGCAATGTATAAATGTTACATTAAGATGAGTATAATATCAATAACACTTTGGTTTATACTTGAAAACTTGATTTTTAAATCTGTCGAAATTTTTTCTTAGTAAGTATAACTACATTTACAAGATTAAAATACAAAGGTATGGTTGCGAAATAAACATATCAATAGGATTCTGAAAACTGGCAATGGCAATTATTTCCTTCCATGTCATTTTCCATCAGTAAAAATAAGCTTATCAGAAGTACATAATATAAAAGTATTTAGGGCAGAAATACATATCTACTGTATTATTAGTGTACATTACATTATGAGCGTAGAATCCTTCAAACACTTATTAAAAAACATAACAAAATAGACCATAAAATAATGTCATTATATGTTTAATTATGTTTATCATACTTGACAAATGACAGACCTAGAATGTTTCATGTAGTCCAGTGTTTCCCAAACAAACCCTTTGGGAGTTTGCAAAATGGTGGAAGCAAAAGCATTTGCATGCATCCATCACACTGAACAGATTATAACTCAAGACTCCAAATAAAAAATGGAAAGATGAGGAGGTATTTTTTGCTGTTTTGAAAATTAAATAGACTACTAGTGTTGTTTTTAAAATTAAGATGATGTACAAGTTTAGGCTTAATCAAAGTGATAGAAGTTAGAAAGTTAAATCTTGGAAATGTTGCTGTTTTCATAATGTAATAATAAAAGTGTCATAAGAAAAATAAATTTTATATTTTCATAATCACCGTTTTCATAATTTAAACTCAGGTAAGGGAGAAAATCCCTAGAAAATATGTATTTTTTAGGAGGGGGGAGGTTGTGAGATTTGGCATTTTCATGTAAGGGGTTTGCTAGATTTTTAAGTTTGGGAACCACTGATGTAGTCTAATTACTTACTACAAAGTACAATGGTAGCTGAAAGGAGTAAGTCTTCAAAATCTCCATGCATTAAAATGCATGGGTGAGAAAATAGTGTCTCCACAGTGACAAAGCTAATTTAGTAATTAACGTTAGGAAAACTAGTTGGCATACATTTCCAAATTCCAGCAATGCCAAAAGTATTGCTTTTCCTTAAACTATTAAGTTTAGCAATTAGGTGCACATTACAATGTCAATGAAACTCAGCTGTATATACAACAGGTAATGAAACATGACAAATTTTCTTTCCTGTGTGGAACATCCATTCAAAATTTAACATTTTTCCTGCTCAAGCCATCACAACCACTGTCAACCTAATGATTGACATTGACAACGTGTACATTATGTATGGTTTTTAAATTTCATACAACATCAACAAAAAAGAAACAGTTTATACAAAACACAACCATCCTCAACCCAACTTGTAAATTACGCCTTAGACTCAAGGACTAACACAGATATAAAAACAGTCACATTACTGACATTAGACAAGTGCAAAACCAACAAACACATGAAGGTGTGGCACGATAAGCCTAACCTGAGATGTTATGCCTTGTTCTTCGACTTCGTCTCCGCTTAATGCTCGTTTGAGCTTGTCCATGCTCAACAAAAATAACGACTAAGAATTTTAGAAATAAAATATAAAATAAATATTCGAAAGCTTATTTCTTTTTACGACAAAAAACATAAGTTAATTATCATATTTTGCATACTTTAATATAATTTTAGAAATTATAGACTGCGAGTTCAGTAAAACTAACGTATATGACTTTATCGGAATACTAAACTTATTAACTTAATAATAACAGGAGCTTACTTATAGGTTGTTGTAGTAAACCAATCAACTTTGTATATTTTTAACGTGGGGGAGATAATGTTTATTAGTAATTGGTGTGTTATATATAAAAATAATTTAAATCACATGAATCTTTACTAGCCCAATACGAATTTCCCTAGAAGTTACAAACCAATTACTTATTTTTGTAGTGAGAAAAATTCCAAAGAGTCTGATAAAAGATTTGTTTGTTTATTGTTAAGTACAAAGCTACACAATGGGCTATCTGTGTTCTGCAACGTAAGTATCGAAATCAGATTTTTTAGCTTTGTAAGCCTCCTAACTTACTGATAAAACTCCAGGAGTCTGATAAAAGAAGCTTTGAAAAATAAATTAATAAAACAGGATATCAAATAATAAAATCAACATATGGATTTACTAAATGGAAAATTTGTATTTCGATGCCCGCGGTGGGCAGAGCACATATAGCCCTTTATGTAACTTTGTGCTTCACAACAAACAAACTTAAGTAACTAATCTGTTAAGATGATAACATAAAATAAAATCAACATGGAATCACTAAACGGAAATATTCCCCGTTGGCTTAGCGGTAAGGCTCACAGTTTAAAACGCTAAAATTCGTTTTTCGATGCCCGTGGTGCGCAGAACAGATATAGCCCATTGGGTAGCTTTGTGTTTAACAATAAATAAACTTGAGTTACTAATCTGCTAACTTTTGGGTAAATACTTAAACTAGACTGTAGGATAGGTTAGGTAAGAGAAGAAGAAAGGATGTAATTAATTAATGGAGTCTAGTCATACTGAAACATTGTTACTAGTGATGTGTCGTACCTCAAGGGTGAGTAAGTGGATCTTTGTTTTTTCTTACTTATATAAATGATACTGATAAGGGTATAATTACTATTTGCGTAAAGATTAAACTCTTGGGTCTTTCTAGTCGTATTGGGGATATTGTTGCAAACTATATTCTCAGTGTTATAATTTAGTTATTTGCTAGAGGGAGGTGCGAATCATGATGATAATAATGCAAAATTTGGAAAGTCCAAAAGCTCATGATGATGTTATAATCGAGAAATTTTGTGGAGTTTCTAGAAATAAGGGTATATTATAAATCCAAGAACCAGTATAGCAGTTACTTTAGTCTCATAATAGTTGTTTAGTATTAGAAATGATAATTATCGTGTTTATTTTGCTACTCGTTCGGTTAGCCATGGAATTCTACAAGTAAATTTATAAACAGTGTAAGCCTACATTCGTTTTAGAGTTTGTGCTGAAAAGTTTAATGTATTAATTGTTTGTGAAATTACTACAAAATATGGAATCGGAGAACCTACTTGGTTTAACATAATGTTCTGGGACAACATGGGACCTATCGGTCCATTTCAGCTATTCCATGCTCTAAACTAAACTAAAACTGTTAATAAGTAAATTAAAAATAATTTTAAAGCCAGTCCTTATCATTCATATAGTTATCAAGCTTTCTTTTAAACTCACTTAAATTTACTGCCTCCACAACATCCATAGGCAACCCATTCCAAAGGCCAACCACTCTGTTAGAAAAATAAAACTGTCTTAGCTGAAGATGACTCCTACCCTGCCGAAATTTATATTTGTGTCCTCTAGTCCTCCTATTATCACTGTTAAGTATGAACACTATCCATTCCCTTTACAATCTTAAACACTTCAATCAGATCCCCTCTAACTCTTCTTTTTTCAACAGAAGACAATTTGAGAGAGTTCAACCTCTTCTTATATGACAACCCCTCCATCCCAAACACCATTCTAGTAACCCATCTCTAAACCTTTCCAACAATTCAATGCATTTTCTAAATTAAGGAGCCCAAGACCGAACACAATATTCCAAATGTGGCCTGATCAATGACCTGTACAATGAAATTATAACCTCTTTAGACTTATATTCAATATTTCTCTAGATACAACCTAAAATCCTATTTGCCCTGCCCCTATCACACTGTTTGGATGACTTTAGAGACTGATCAACTATTACACCAATATCCCTTTCTTTCATGACACTGTTAATGTTATTCCCATCCAAATTATACTTATAATTCAAATTATGATAACCCACATTCATTATTTTGCATTTATTATAATTAAAACCTCTTTTCCATTTATTTGCCCAACTCACTAAATGATCTAAATCCTTTTGTAAATCAGCATCAATCTCTTCACATCTAGCAAGACCCAAGTCCTTAATATAATCTGCAAATTTAAGTAGTTTATT